AGGCAGGAGGATGTGTCAGCTCAAGGCTGAGCCTGAAGAGGCTTAGGGTGACTCTTTACCTTCACCAGGGTCTATTTTTGGCTGCTCGGCTGCAGCTGACTCCGTGAAGGGGGCAGTGATTCGGAAGAGAAGCCACGTGAGGGTCACTGTTTCTAGGATCCACTTTATCCCCTTGCTCCTTTTAGGTTCCTTGTCTTTTTCGGATGGCAAAGAGTGTCACAAAGGACGAGGGGATTTGGAGACAGGTCACAAGGACCCCAGAAACCTGCTCCCCGTCCAACACTTGACTTGTGGCCTTTGTTTCACCACAAAAGAATCCCCATGTGGCTTCTGACCCTGCCCTGGCTGCTGCCAGGTTGGCTCCTCACATCCTCCTGTCCCCTACCTCCTACCCAAGCTTCTAACTTTGTGGATATTCAGCATGAATTTAGTAACAACAACACAAATTAATGAACAGGCTGAGGTGGGAACCACGTCACCCGGGATGTGACTGCTGCTGGTCAGTGGGGAGCAGTTATCAGCTCTGACTGCTGTGAAGTGGGGGCCAGGGGATGACAGGAGCTCTGATGGTGAGCACAGGGGCTGCTGTGGTACAAAGCCCCTGAAATCTCCCACTGGCCGTGGGACCCGTGGGGCTGCTCCCATGCAGCTCAGCCCTGCTTCAGATGGAAAACCAGCCTCTCCACAAGCTGGAAAACAGCAGAGCAGAGGCTTTAACTAAAATCCTGAGTGATTTCCACATGGCTGAATGGCATTTTAATAGTGGAAAAATAATGCTTCAAAATTATCTACTTCTCTTCCTATTGTCTTTTCCTGGCTGGCAACGTTCTGCCACGGCACGACCAGCTCTGGATCTTCTGTGTGGGGTTTGCTGGTGGCTCCCAGCCCAGTGGCAGCCCAGGAGGGGTCTGCCTGCCCCATGCTCAGCACCACAGAGCTGCCCAGAGAGGTGGTTGCCTGGAACCATCCCAGGGGAGGTTGGTTTGGGCTCTGAGCACCCTGCTCAAGCTGCAGATGTCCCTGCTCCCTGCAGGGGGTTGGATTCCATGGGCCTTAAAGATCCCTTCCAATCCAAATCATTCTGTGATTCTATGACTTTTAAGGTCCAGCACCCAACCTGTACAGCAATGTACCATACAAATAACCTCACAAAAACTTTTATTATTCACTGAAACATCATAAGAACTCCCTGCTTCACAGCAGAACAGCCACCAGCCCTTACAGGAGGTGTCACCTCCTACAACCCCAGCACAAGGGCAGCCCCGGCTCCTCTCGAAGCTGTGCTCTTTTGGAGGGGTGTGACACTGCAGCAGGTTTCACCACTGCTCTCACCGAGGGGAAGGTTTTCATCCTCTGAATTCAAGGCACACAAATCAGGAGCCAAACTGTCCTGCTGAGATTCAAACACCTGGTGGGCAACGCTGAAAAGTGAGCGTGGACTTGATGATCCTAAAGGTCTCTTCTAACCGAAATGATTCTATGGTTCTACGACTGCCCTCCTGCAGACCACGACACGGTTGTGTGAGAGGAGCAGCCTGGCTGAAGTGAGAGGCAGAGAGACAACCAGGAGCAGGTGCCAGGCTCGATGTGCCGTGCAGAGGGATGCAGCAGAGCTGGCACAGCCGCTGCCACCTCGTCTCCTGTCTCCTTCTTACAAGGAAACTATTTCCTGGGCTCTGTTTGGCACAAACGCTGGCTCAGGACGCGCCTTTGGACGCCACTGAATTTGGTTAAGGACATTTGGCAACACGGCTGTGCTCAAGGGCCCAGCTCCACTTCTAGTTGGCATTTTAGAGAAGACAAGAGGAGAAGTAGGGTGTCCTTTCTAAAATACTCCAGGGGAAGCCTTTATCGGAGACAGAGCTCAGCCAAAGTGACTGCAACAAACCGAATTTCATTTTCACTTTGGGATGGGGCAGAGGGTGCACCACTGGCACCAGCTGAAGGGCCTCAAGCCCCCGTGGAGAGTATGAACCATAGACAGACAGGTAAGGACTGTAAATAGTCAGCAACTAAGAAGAGCCAAAGAAAACACGCTGGGAAACACATTGGAAACAACAGAACTCCATAAAAGAGTGCCTAAAGTCTGTAGTTGTCAGCATAAAGAAACAGCTTTGCTGTAATGTTGTGAGGAAGTAAACTTTGAAGGTGTCTGTGAAATGCCCTGACTAAGAAGAGTGGAGCTTTAAGACCTGTGGCTCTGCACTTGCTGTACAAATGGGGAAAAAACCACACCAGCCAGTGTGCCACAGAAATAAAAGGCGAGACAAGACCTTTTAGGTGACCAATTCTTCCTCGCCGACGAAGCAGACACCTTCCCTGCAAAGCCAGTAGTCTGCAGTTTTATTTTTGGCAGATTATAATTAAAATGGTCTTTATGGCTTTAGAGAGAAGCCACTAAGCTGCACGTTTGGGTTGAAGCAGAGCGTGTGTGTGGTGTGCTGCGGATGAAGGACGTCGCAGACAGAGGTCTTGCCACAGCTCTGCTCCTTCTACCCGACCCACAAACGCTGCTGGCTGTACTTGGCTCTCTTCAGTGTTCTCATTTCTCATCAGCAAGTAACAAAATTCTGGTTGCTAACCAGTCCAATCCCAGAGGCAGAATAAAAAGTCCTTGTTAAGACCTAGAAAAAGCACGTTTCTATCAAAAGCAAACCCACACACGTGCAAACGCCGTTCCTGGTTTGACGTGTTGTGTTCAGGTTCTGCCACCAGCACGCTGGAATCTGCTTCCCCTGTAGAGTGAGGTCCCTCCTCCTCCGTTCTCCACCTTTGGGTCTCCTCGGGCAGCTGGAGCCGTCCCTGGGTTCTCCCTGTGCACATCCTTCCTGCCCTTCCCTCTTCCGCGGCCGGGCCCTGTTCCTCCGCGGCTATTTTCGGAAGGCGAAGCCGTCCCGTGTTCTGGAGCCTCTCTTGCCTTCGCTTCCTGGGGTGGGAGAGGCCCCCCCGGGCAGCCCCCCGCAGGGACAGCTCTGGGAGGGGGGGTGCTGGCCCGAGCACTCCACGGCGGGGATGAAGCCGCTGTCCCACATCCCCGTCCCGCACAGCTTGCACAGGTCGTGCAGGCTGCAGGGGATGCGGGGCAGGAGGTGGAACTGATAGAGCAGACTCCTCGCCTAGAGGGGAGAGACAGAGCGGCCACTGCTCACTGGGGGATGCCCACGGGAGTGGGGGCAGCCCAGGGCCTCCTGCCCCCTCTTTCTGCCAAAGGTTCCTCAGAGGAGCGTCCCTCCTGAACAGCCTCCAGTCCCTCCCAGCCCAGGTGGATTTGGGACCGTGGCACAAGCACCAACAGCTCTGCCTGCCGTGTCCCTGAGCACGAGTGAGGGTTAGCCCAACCCCTCCAGCACCTCCTACACACTCTACAACTGACTCTTAGTTCTGCAAAACTTGTCTCCAGGCAAAGGGCAGCACCCTCTCCTCCCAGGCTCCAGAGAGCAGGGGGATACGGCAGATGTGGAGGATGCAGGAGATGTGGAGGATGGAGCATCAGTCCCTGATCTTCTCAACGCTCAGACTCATCTCTTGGAGCACACACTCCATGCACATCAGCACACAGATATTTACCTTCCTGAGCACAAGTTCTCCATTCATGTGCATAGCCAGGTTGGCAAAATGCAGCAGCATCTGGTCTGTGGCCAGCTGTTGCTCAATGACATCATCCCCATAAATCACCACGATGGCCACGCAGATGAACAGGTGGAAGTAGTCGGTCTGCAATGAGAAAACAGGCTGGAGTACAGCAGGTGGAGGCAGAGGTCTGACTTCACCTCCCCACCCTCCACAAGCATACCCTTAGTGAGATTTTGTGCTCCTCCCAGTTTATTTTGCCTAGTGGTATTCAGAAAGGGAATTACTGGTGAGTTCTGAATAAAAACCTGTTGCCTTTAGAGTGCTGAGCAGGTTTTGCACCACAGCTCTCAAAGCAGACTAGTGATTTTAGGGAAGTCTGAACTTCTGAAGTGGATGTTCAGCACTTGCTGGAAAATCCTCCTTTTGAAGCCTCAGGTAGCAGAGGCAGACCTCCATCCTCCTGCGACACACATAGACCCCTCCAAGAGTTACAGACCCTCTCGAACACCTGCTTATCTTGGATACTTTGCTACTAGGAGCCTTTTTGGGAACCCCGGAGCGCCCGCTGAGGCGTTGGGGGCTGGGCTCTAACCTGGTAGTGAGCCCAGCAGGCCTCCCACATGCGCAGAGCCTCGGGCTCCGGGAACTCCCGTTTGAAGCAGAGGAGGATCCAGCGGTGGCAGAAGAGCATCTGCAGGGCGTCCTCCCCCAGGGCAGCCAGGTGCTGGTGGAAGCGCGGGTGCATGAGCCGCAGCAGCTCCCGCAGGTACA